TTAGAATTTGGTTGTCCAGTGCATATTATCTATAATCATTAACAAGTTGTACTAAAAAATTGTTTTTAATATATTATTATAACTTAGAATATCAAAACTAAGGTTCTTAACTATTTGTTTTTGAATTTTGTAATGGTTTGTAAGTTAGAATTTTTTTTTTATGTTAGATAACAATACCCAAAATGTTTTTAATATAAAAAATAGTTTTTTTCTTTTTTTTTTCTGCTGATTGGAAAATCGAATGTTAGTACTTAGTATGAAAAAACTATTCTTCTTAATGCATCTTTGCGTACTTTAGTTTTTGTTACTATGCGACGACGCGTCCTTTATGATGTTTTGCGCTATACAATGTACATTTTTGGAATATTAATAAAAAGCCAACATAAATATGCGAACCTTTCTTTAAATGTATTGATGTGATGTCCATTTGCCTACATCCAACGCACAAAATTGCTGTCAATTCAATATTTGGAAGAACCCTAAAATTGTTAGTATATGCTTAAATTCTTACTTCACAGCATAGACCTATACATAAACAGTTGTTTATTTATACAGTCAACACTCTATAGTAACCTAAATAATATAATCTTGACTTGACGCAACTTGTGTCACGTAGCTACAAAACTAAGCATCAAAGTTTCAAATTAAAGTAGACATGCATTGCACCAATCTAATATGAACGTAGAGAGATGCTCTGATTCTGCCAGACTAAAATCCTGAAAAGCAAAACGAATTAGTTCTCATAACTCATGACAATGTTGCCTAAATTATTTTTAAACATAACATATAATTAAGCCGGAAGGAATTGTCTCATCCAAGGTGTCTATCACCAACTGCACATACGAATCCGATTCTTACAAGCCATTATGGATGGTTTCCCAATCTCTTAACCAAAATATGCACCATGAAAAGAAGCATCTTTACGTATTGGTTTTTTTCCGACAGGCATAAACCGAAGTTGCATCTTCAACAGGTTTTTTTTGTCAAACCCACCAATGCTTTTTAGTTTTTACATGTAGTCATGATGAAGCAATCGTGCACTATGTAATGCACTACGTGACAACGAATTATAATCCGTTACATATTGTGAAAGAATTAGTGATAATAGTGGACGACAATTCGATTTCATTTGTACTTGTTGTGCTCTCATGGAGAATCAGTTTTCAACAGCTTCAGAAGTTTCAACTCAAGTGCATGAGTAGATAGTAAGATGGCCCTTTTCTGCAGTAGCAATATCATACTACTAGCCATTCGGTTTTTCGGGTCTTTTTGGATCTTTAGGAAATGAGTCCCAAATAGAACCGGATTATATTATCAGTTCGAAAGTTTTCCGTGTATTTGGTGTTTCATAAATTTTTTTTTTTTTTTTAATAGATTTAATAAAGATACAAATATGTAGTTAAGTTTAATTAGTAGCCTATATTTTTTAGTATATTTAAAAATGTTTATTTCTATATATATCTAGTAGAAAAAAATGATTTAAAATTTTTCCGATTTCGGTTTAGGTATCTGGTACATAAAATCTCGACGGTTCTTGTTATCATGAAACTTGGTTTGAATTTTGGTTCTGCTTTCTTGCCCCTCCCCTACCAGTGGTAATTCGTGACGACCCCAATAATGGAACCTAAATCGACGAGAGATATATCATATATGCATATAAATTTATAACGTTGAATGATGTCAATATTTCAATGTGAAAAAACTTTCATGTACGAGGAATCATCTAGCCTTAGAAGTAGAGGCCTAGGCCCAAACTGCAGCAAATGGTTTGCCCATAATTGATAAGAACCACAGTAAGCTGTTCACATTTCCTCCCATCAGAATTGTGACATATTTCATTAGATGTTAAAACTCGTCTATTTTTGTATCACAAAGATTATTGAACATTTGCATCAACCACCTTTACTAAATCAGTAGCCTAAGTACTACTAGTTTATGACTTGCCACATAAAAGAGGCAACTTCTTGGGAGAGTGATCTCTTGAGCCACTGCCAATAAACCCTATTAAGTTGACAAACATAACATATATTACCTCAATAATAGTGAAGTCGACATTAAATTCAACGGTGAAACGTGAAAACCATATGAGAAGCATCCACCGCCGAAGTGGCATTAGGTTAAATTGTGATTATCACTGGCCTTAACAAGAACACGGAAAGCGAAAAGTTCGAATAAATAACCGTTAAAGAACCCAATTCCTTCACTTTTATCCTACTAGATGTTTGCCCACGCGACGCGTGGGTTATTGTATACATTTTTTCTTTATGTAAAACAAATAAATAAAACATATTTTGTAAGCAAAACAACAATAATAACGCATACATAAAAATAATAGATGAATGAGATAGTTAACAAATTAATATATAGACTTAAGACTTTTACTTAATATTTTCGAGATTACAACTTAGTTCAATATATGTTTTACTTGCCTTTTTTCAAAGCATTACTAAATTTTAACTACCAAATGATAAATGACTATTCTATACAATTCAACGTCTACCTCCACCATCAACACTCTTGGAATATTGCCCTTCACTTGAGACTTATGTTGTTTCGAAGCATACTCCATTTTTCTTATCTTTCTTCTCGTCTTTAGTCTTCTTGATTTTCTTCTTAATCTCTCTGCAAGAATATCAAATTTATTTGAGTCAACCCAAATTTAGGTTAATATAGATTGAATATAATGAATGTTTTCGGCAAAGAAAACCTACAATAATGCATCTTCTATATATATATTGAAACACATTGAATTAGAAGAGAAAATATTATACAATTTACCAATAACAGAAAACTTGGAATATGATGGTTTGTGAGATGTGTGTCTTAATATTTATAGGGAATTTTTTTGTAATAAAAGCATATTTACGTTAGATAACTATGTAACTTCCACAATCATGTTTTGTTTTTGATAAAACTTTCACAATCATGTTTGAATGTCATTTATGAGTAAATTTAATTGTATTTATATCATAAATTTTTATGTTACATTCCAAAGAATCCATGGTGAAGAATTCATTTTTTATTAAATGTATTTGAAGAATTGTTTCAATTTACAAGTTAGATTTTAAGGACCAAACGTTACAAAATTGTGTAATCTTTTATATTCTTTTTAATTTTCAAATTAATACATTTTCAACATTTTCCATTAGTTTTATTGTAATCATTACTACTAACATTAATTAATATGGAAGTTACATCAAAAATTGTAAACATAAATAAATATAAATCATTTATTTCATTAATAACATAAATATAATTATTAGTATGGAGGTTACAAAAATGTGAGGAAATGCATAAAATATATTTATTGTAAATTATTACTTAAAATTTCAAAATTATTACATGGCAATGATGTGGATGCCAAGCAGCCCAATAAACGTGAATTTATTCTTCTTTTATTGTTCAACTATGATAATAATTTTATTTAGTATTTTTGAGCATTCAAGGTAAAATAAACATTATTAGTGATAAAAATGAAATTGTACAATGCTATTCAAATATTTAGTCTAAGTTGCTGATATAAACTAAATCATAACCTAAAGTATTTTAGAAATTATTTTGTAAATAACAAATTAAATAAATTTCCTATAAAATTATAGGAAGTGCAAATAAAAGCTTTCAAAAAATCCCAAAGATTAGTTTCATTGTTTAATCTCTTTTTATATTCCCCTTTATTTAACTTATATTTATAGGTTTAATTCTAATGATTTCATCTTTATAGTACAAGCTAATTGGATATGGAATATCAAATGTTTTTTATATATATCAAAAAATCCTTACACTACAAAATTTGAATTAAATAAAATTTTAATGATCTTTATATTATTATATGTTGAATCAAAAAACTAAATATAATGATGAGTATACTAAAAAATTGTATTACAAAACATTATTACAAAATTGAATTAAATAAAAAAATAGTCAATTCACAATTGTATTACAAAACATTATTTCGTTAAAATAATGAATACTTTTAAAAATAAAATAAATATACATGAATATGTAAGAAATAATCAAACATTCAAAGTAAAAAAAAATGAAGATAGTTTCTTTAGCTTGATTCCTTATTGCGCGATGGTCGGAATTAGTATTTTTGGATCTGCATCAATAAAGTAATTTTATTATAGCCATCAAAATTATAATATACATATGTAATTTTAAATAAAAAATATTAAAAAAAAAACAAAGAAAGAATGGAAGAAATACATAAAAACAAAGAAGAAATAAAATTGAAAAGAATGTAAGATGTATATTAAACAAAAAATAAAATCAAACTCTTACAATGATATCTTAATTGAGTTTTCAACTCATGCAAGAACATAAACAAAACAAAGAGAATATTTAGGATTTGAGACATAGTGGAGGAGGATGTGAGAATGGTTATTTATAGGAAAATAAGTGATGGAAGTTAAATTTCTAAACTAATTAGATTATAGGAGTTACAATTATAATTATAGTGTGTTTAAATGGCAATGAATAGAGAAAAAAATAGTCAATTCACAATTATGTAATTTCAGTTACAATTGAGTAGTAAAGTGTAGATTTAAAGTATGAATTAATGTATATGATTAAATGTGTTATATTTTAAGTGTAATTGAAAATAAATATTATAATTTTAAAAATGCCAAGTGGACCAATCATGAGAGAGTGAAACTCTACTTTTATATGTATGATTAAAGAACTTTTTTACACCAAAGAATCTAGGAATTTCTAATTTTTAGCCAATGGATCATTTGAACAAAAAGTGATACTGCTCTCCAAAACTCCAAAAATAGGCGCTAAACAAGAAAAGCCTATCCATTCGCCAAGGCCCAACTAAATATGTATGGAAATTAATGCTTAATGAGAACTGTATAAGCTACATGTGACAAGAGCAAGAGCTAAAAGATTTACCACCAACTTGAGTGCCATGAATTGTAAAAATTAGTTGATTGTGTTACGATAAGTTGTGGACATTCTTAGATTTTTTATTTGTTTGTAGTTATCTATACTCAATTATGAACAATTGTATTTGTTTATTTAAACTTATTACAATCGAACATAAAGAAGAAGACAAATTTGGGGAAGAAAATGATAAAAGGGATAGAAGATTGGCTGATTAAATAAACCACTCTCTTTCTTACATCATTCATCAAAATCTGATAATCATTTACAAAGAAGGATCAACTCTCACTAGAGAACTAAAACTACGATGGCATAAAACGTAATTACATACAAAACTCATGTCCAAAGCCCAAACCTACCCATAACTACTGAGATTTTTTTTATTACAGACTAAATGATGTTCACTTATAAGACCAAACATGCTATCGAAATACTTAGAACAAAACACAAAACAAAAGAAGAACATTAGTCCTATCAACGCACTGTTTCTATATGCACACCTAAATCTCTCAGCCGGAGATAAAACTCTCCGGCAGCTCTTAGCAGCTTAATCGCCTGCCGTGGATTTAAAACCTCCACCACTTTCCCCACCGTCACACACCGGAGTTGATCAGCGTTCTTCATCGCCGTAATCATCTCTGCCTTCAGAACATCCATTGCGTCCTCCATTTGTGACTGCTCTCCTTCGCCAAGGGTCAACACTCCGATGCGTCTAAACGGAACCATCAGAAGTGGATCCCCCACGCTCTGTTGTAGAAGCGCAAACCTTCGCATCAAATCACTCTCCCTCCTTTTAGTCTCCGACCGGATGTTCTCAAGTTGGTCTATTTGGTGGCTCGTAAGGTCGTTAACAGAAGTGGTTATGAGTTTAAAAACCATACCTGGCTTGAAACCTCCGATCCAGAGGATGAGTTTCTCGTATGAACTGAGCCATGGTGGGGAGAAGAAAACATATACATCGTCACCGGCCACGGACATGGCAACTGATTTCTCGTCGTAGTATTGGAGACAGTGAGAAAGAAAGTTACTCAGAAGAGATTCTTCTTCTATTGGAGTTACAGTGGTTGTTTCATCAGCAAGGTGTGCAAGTTGTTGGACAAATTGCCTGTGACGACGAAGCCAGTCATTGAAGAAGCTCGCAAAGGTTTCAGAGCTGCTGGTGATTGGCATGACTCATGTGTAGTTCCAAGTGAGTAAATGGATATAGACAAGACATGCATGTATGTTTGTGTAAACATTGTATGACTATTTATAGAAGACAGCATCATGGTTAAATAATAGGTCAATTCACCGTAAGAATGTTTTAGTAGGAACGGTTACAGAATTGTATGAAATAGTACAAAATGTACGTAATTTAAACATTAAAATGTTTTTCAGTTTTTACTGTTTTCGTATACACATCCAAATGATCAATTGAATATATCTATATATATATATATATATATATATATATATATATATATATATTAGAAATAAATATTTAAGTTTTGATCAATAAAAGTAAGCGTTAAGTGGCTACAAATCACATAAAAAATTATTTAGCAAACATTTTCGGTCATTTTGATATCGATTTAACATTGTTGAAGCCATGAAAAGTTAACATTGTTTATAGCCTATAGGCACTGTATATAGAATGCCATGAAAATTTAAATTAATCCAAAAGTGAAACGTTTTTAATTTATATTACTTAATAAACTATTATTTTAAGTTGTTAACATGAATCTGATGATTATCAGTATAATGTGGCTAATATTTTTATGTTTTCTTAATCATAGTATTGATGTATAATAATGTGTATGTACATCTAAAATAAAGGGTATATGTCACCACATTGTTCGTATTCATGCTATAAAGAATATTTTTTATATGCATAGTGAAAAACTTCCAAACACAAGTAAATTTAATTCACTCTCACAAAACAAAAGAGGCTAAAATTATTATTTAGAACTGCGGGTTTAGAAGGAATGGCCTGTCATAACCCGCAAAAAAAATATTGGGATTATTGTCTAAAATGCCATTTTTTTGGAAAAACTTACGAAAATGCCATTTTTTGAATAGTTTACGGATTTTGCCCTTTTTTAACACTTAAAAATGTATGTATTTATAATTTTTTTTGCAAAAATACGTACTTTATACCAAATACTAAACCCTAAGAACAAATGGAACCGACTAAACCCAAACATAACGAGTGAAACGCATGTTAAATCATATTTTTGGAGCTTGAAAAAGGGCAAAATCCACAAACTATTCAAAAAAGGGCAAAATCCACAAATGCCACTATAAAAAAGGGCAAAATCCGTAATTAATCCAAAAATATTAAAACCCGTAAATCGGACGTAGCATCCATTGACAAGCTACATTGATCTATAAATTTTTTTTTTTGTCAAAGTTGATTTATAATTTCTTGTAATAATGTTTTTTTAGTAAGGTACAAAAGTTTTATGTTAGGTCGATAGAAGGATTTTTGCCCAAAAAAAAAAAAAAAAAAAAAAAAAAAAAAGGTCGATAGAAGGATATTAAAGGCAGCGATCTTATTTGCACAAAAAAAAAAAAAAAAAAAAAAAAGGCAGCGATCTTAAGAAAATGCAGACGTGTGAATAGAATCTAAAACGCATATTCTTTTCTTCTTCTGGAATCCAAACTTTTGTCTTTACATTTAAACTTCACACTTGTGTTGTGTGGTGATGTTGAAGTAGAAAACAACAAATAATAATAAACCAATAGTAGTCATTAAGAGACAAAAGACATTGAATGAAGCGTATGTCGCTGTAGTGAACTTGGAACCATTGTAAGTAAAATCTAAGAAAAAAAAAAAAAACACTTAAAGCTGTGTTAATAAATCATTCTATTTTTGTTTACAAATAACATACTGTTTTTGATAAACGAAACGATGTGAATATTCAAATAGATACTTTTTCTTAGAAAAAAAATTAACTCTCTAGAAAAATGCATGTGTACTACTAAACTAACTCAAATAAGCCGATGTCAAAGATAAACGTACTTAAACTCACATGGTCAAATGTAAAAGTAACATTTTTTTTGGTAAAAAATATAAAAATAACATGCAAATCCATAGGTAAAAACACCTATTTCAATGTGTACAATTTTCGTCGTGCCTGTACGAATCCATAGAAAAGCCGAACCGAAGTGTATAAAAAGGTTAGGCCTTTTATAGGAAAAAAGAAAAGAAAAGATCAACAGCTTTTTAATCTTAGAAAGTAGGAATGTACTCAGAGCCGTGACTACCTCTTTATAAAAAGGGCAAGTGCCCTAGGCCACAGTTTGTGTAATAAATTTAAGAGGCCACATTAATCATAATCTTCTTAGGTTTTGATCATATTGTCACTCTAAAAGTCATTTTATCAAGGTTCTATTCCAATATTTGTAAAATTTATCATTCTTTCTTTCTTGTTTGGTTGTTGTCTTAGTCGCCTATATCTTTTAGGCTTTTGTTTTTGTTTATTTAGAATATATAATCAACTATGTAACATAATTAAAGAAAATTTTGCCTAAGGCCACTAAGCTCGTAAGCACGGCACTTATGTACTTTGTTCGGGAAGCAAGCGTGTGCATGGATTCTGAATTATCTCAATACTTTGCGTAGACTAAGAAATTGGTTGGTGACAAGCTAAGTATTTGTTTTAGTTGACTGTGTGCAACAATTTTAAAAGATTTCCTAGTGAAGTATTTTTTGATACACCGGTGTGTCGAGTGTTGGTATATCTCGTCTTGTGTTACATACATCTTTGCTTTTTTATTTCACCAAGCTGGTTTTTAGATGATCAATGTCCCTTGTAGCTTCACCCAACTCCTCAAGGATCTCACATCCTTGATGTGGAGCAAACTAGTTCCCATCATACAATTTGAGAATGTTGTTAAGACAATCATATTTCCTAGTGATAACAGCTGAAACTCATGTATAAAGTGTTTCATCCGCCCTACTCAACTAATCATATTTCTGTTTGGTTTTGAAGTTGTTGAAATTCCTGTTCGATTCTAATTTACAAAAGGAATTCCAATTAAAATAAAAGTGCCTTTCAGTTAGGGTTAGTATTATTTTAACTATTTTGGTTTTTTTTTTAGAATAATTTTAATTTGGGTGTTTTGCAAAAATAACTTATTTTTAGAATATAATTAAATTTATAGCTGTTATAATACATCATATTGGACTTATAACCGGGCCCAATAAGCCCATCAGGGTTATTCATTATGTATTGTATCCCGATGTACTTCTATATATTCCCTTGAGGATCAATAAAACAATTAGTTCTACAACACGTTATCAGCACGAGTTTGCTCTTAACAACCCTAACCCTAAAAATCGCAAAACACTGTTCACGCCGACACTGTTCATCGACGCTGTTCATCGGTACTGTTCATCGATGATGTTCATCGGTACTGTTCATCGACACTGTTCATCCCAGCGTGAGTTACCGAGGTCTTAAGCTCCCAGTTCAATCCGTTCAACCCCAATTGGTGAAAGGTAAAAACGAAACCTTAAAAGCTTAAAGACCAAAAATCGAACTTGAACCTAATGCAAAGCGAAATCTTAAAAACGGATAATGATTAATTAAGTGATTGCTTTTGCTTGTATGATTCGGTTGCTTGACTCGTTTAAGTTGTTAGAAAAGTTATTGCTTAAACCTAACTCTCAAACTCGAAAACACTTAGCCATGGCTGAAACCTTAAAACCTAAATCAAATCAAATCCGAAACCCTAAAAACGGTTTTGCGTTTGAAAACCGCAAAATTCAAATCGTTTTCGTCAAAGAGAAACGAAAACCCTAATGCGTTTTTTTTTTCTTTTTTCAAACATTTTCAACCGCATGTCTACAATCGCGAATCCAAATCGTTCTCATCATCGAAACATAAACCCTAAAACCGATTGAAACCTAGCGGCTCAACCGCTTACTTTTGAAAAATCGCGGCTCAACCGCTTCTATGTCCAAAACCGCAATTTTTGTGTATCCCCTAAACCGGAAATCATTCTCGGTTAACTCCTAAACCCGAATATCAATTCGGTTCATCGGTTAAACCGGTTATCAATTAAAACATATATTAACTTGGTTCATCATTTAAACCGACTCAAAATCAATTTACTTTTGGTTAACTAATAAACCGGATCTCAACCCGGTTAACATAAATTTAAACAAAAAAAAAAAAAAAATTCATTTTGGTTATATATCTAAACCGATTATCAAACCGGTACCGAAAATAATAACCGGATCTCAATCTGGGTAACCCGGTTCAAACCGGTTATTCTAAACCGGAAATCAATTCGGCCCAACCCCAAAATCCCTAAACCGGAATCTAATATTCCGGTTCAACTTTAAACCATAAAACCGAACTTATGTTCTGTATAACCAAATATCCTTAAAATTTACGATTCCAGATAAAGTTTCCTAAATTAGAAAGTTTCCCGAAATAGAAAGTTTCCTCAAATAGAAACTTTCCTCATTTAGAAGGTTTCCTAAAATAGAAACTTTTCTCATTTAGAAAGTTTCCCAAATTAGAAACTTTCCTCAAATAGCAAATGACCCGGAATGAAAACTTTCCTAAAAATAGAAAGTTTCCCGAAATAGAAACTTTCCTCATTGAGAAAGTTTCCCAAATTAGAAACTTTCCTCAAATATAAAGTTTCCTCAAATAACTATTATTTTAACAAACCCCTAATGAAATCAATTTCATGTTTTCAGATGTCAAACATTCAGAAAGTCGAGTTCGAGGCCCTCAAGGTCTCCGGTGAAAACTATCTCGAATCGGCCCTGGACACCAGGATTTTCCTCAACTCAAAGGGACTGGGTGAGTGTATCAAAGCGGATAACACCGCATCTGATAAAGACCGGTCCCAGGCGATATTTCATATCCGCCATCATTTGGCCGCGAGCCTCAAACAGCAATATCTCACTCTTGAGAACCCACTCGAACTTTAGGTGGCCATGAAAAAACGGTATGATCACCAGAAAACGGTGCTCTTGCCACAAGCCAAGTTTGACTGGAAGGAACTCCGGTTCCAAGATTACAAATATGTGGATGACTACAACTCCGAACTCTTTCGGATAGTTTCAATCATGAAACTATGTGGTGAAGAGGTGTCTGATAATGATCTCCTCGAGAAAACATTATCCACCTTCCATACCCAAAACATTGTGCTTCAGCAGCAATATTGTGCAATGAAACATACATTGTACGAAGATTTGTTATCTTGTTTGCTCTTGGCCG